GTCCTGAAAAGAGCAGTCACAGCTACAGCTTATGAAACAAAATTCAGAGCAGTGCAATGGTACAACTACTGCAGAGATGTTTCCTCCGGCAAAATGAACACCCTGACTCAAGTTTGCGGAGGAGTCGGTAGCATAGTCCATATTGATGAGACTGTACTTATAAAAAGGAAATACAACCGCGGGAGATTACAAGCAAACCAGCAGTGGATACTAGGTATCTACGACACGACACTGCGCAAAGTATATATAGAAGCGATTCCCAATCGCAGTGCAGCAGTATTAGTGCCTATTAATAAGCGTTTGGTGTTGCCGGGGACGACTATTCATACAGATGAATGGAGCGGATACCGTCAATTATCGAATCATGGGTACATTCATCATGCTGTTAATCATACGGACGGTTTCCGGAATCCTTTGGATGGAACCCACACCAGTTCCATTGAAAGTTGTTGGAGTCGTCTAAAAAGACGTATAAGAGCGGTTAATGGATCCAGAAATCCCATGATTTACAGTTACCTGGATGAATTTACGTACCGAAACTGGTTTCAGATGACTATGAAAACTCCCATGAGAAACTGGGGGGTTGTTTTGGAACATATACGCGAACGCCATCCTTTGTAACTGTTTATTATGATTGCACTACTTTTATATAAACCGTTTTTTACAATTATGCGCCTTTCTTTTTGAGCCTTCTCATTGGCCGAAGTTGTCCCTGTCAAGGTCATTTTTGCGTTAAAAGGTCGTTTCGGTTTGGGCCGCTATTCTTTAGAGTCACCCACTGTTGCAATAGGTTTGCAAGGAAGAGAGGTACCTAAAAGGCGTAAGTATAAACTCGTTATTTACTGACACAGGGTAATGCTCCCATACACCCCCCTAAATATATGAGGCTGCATAATGCAGAATGAGCCAGAAATGCTATAAATGCAAAACTGCGTTCACAAAAGTCTAGATCCAAGAAGAATGGGTCAGATGTAGATGAGATTGTGACATTAAGCATCATCATCGAACAGAGCACGGAGTGACAGGCCAGACTCCGCCCCAACTTCATCGCACTGAAGCAACCTACGACACTATCGGCCGCCGATTAATTTGTTGATCGCTTCTGCAGCACTACAAACCTTCATAATCCTGATCCAAGAGTCAACATGCCAAATAACAGTGGAAAGCGAAGTGATGTCACTGGATCAACTGCTTGTCTATGTAAGACGAGTCAATTAACTTTCACTCATGAAATCCTCAATTTTTACGAACTGAATCATGCAAGAGGAACAATGAGTAGTGAGTGGGGCAGAAGATAAGACTCTAGAATGCATGGATTTCACAGGTGACTTTTGTGTCTAATGCTGCATAGGCTCGAGGAACTGCAAATGAAGACCAACAAGTTGGCAGGAGACGGAGCGAGGACGGGACTTTAAGTAAATATAGAGAAGCCAGAGGTGATGAAAATACCAAACTACCTTAGAAAAGCACCGATCAGTATCTCTGAGGGAAAATTAGTAATCACTTCTTTCACATCCCTAGACAAGATCTTTTCAGCCACAGACAGCTCGACAGTAGTAACCATCTGAGCAATGGATATCAATTTGCTAGAGTCAGGTTTGCTCTCAGTATTCGTAAATTGCCGAAACCTCTAAAGATTTTCAGGAAACCTCTCTGATTCTGTGACAGAAATGTCTGGTTCTCTTTCAAGTAGGTTTATATTTCACCAGATGACTAGATGTAAGTATCTGCATGCGCTGAAAAGGACTTAGGCGGAAATTCTCAAAACCAACATTATTTAGACGTGATGACCGGAGGGACGAAGACATTCATTATGCAGCAGGATACCAAAATTGCGGTCAGTTCTGAGATGCAGCAGATATTAAGTGGAAAGCACATAGATTGTGACTCTTGGTTGAGATCGAAAATGCATAATCTGATTCAGGGTCTCACCAGTTTACTGCTGAGTTTAGCATCATGGTGGACTCCGACACTATCCATAATAATTTATGGTTTGAAGTATAGCATACACTTTGTATACCCTACAGCTATTAAAATATGTTCTTCAGAAGGATCATGAGGCCTAGTCCCAATAAATTTCAGTTGCTGCCCACCACAATACTCTGATCAACAAAGTACATTATAGTATGAAAAGCACTCGAAACCAGTTATTCACATTGGCTGGACGACCTCGAGCTGATTCTCCAGCTAGTTTCAACTAGATATAATGTTCATGATCGTTGCGTAGCTATATATCCTGATAGACTTGAGCTACTTGGCCACACCACTTGCTGAATCTTAAGCTTGGCTCATTTCACATGACTGCAGGCTACTCCTAACACTGCCTCAACAAGTGAAGGGAGAATTTATCACAAGCGGTTGTTCAGGAGCGTATTTATCAAATATGTTATGGAGATAGCGAACACACCTAAGTTCAACATCCGCGCTCTTGTCCCTTGAATACCTATTCCTCCGCAATCTGCACAAATCGGCCGTTGAAAGCATTCAGTCGAGTCGATGAACATCTTTGAGCCCATACACAAACACTTGAGCAGTGCCAGACCCCGATACACCTGATATATTCACTAATTCAGGATTGTGAAGTAGGATCAATCAGTGCCCTCCTTCTGAACATGCCTTGGAATTGCATCGGACAATGCAACAATCCATGTATCTATTTCCCTTGGAGGATTCTGTGCTCACTGGTTTAAAAAGGAATATAATTCAATATATATGTAGCCAACGAAGTGTCATGTTAAGAATCCAGCTGTCTGGGCTTAAATTCTCGCGTAAGTTATCCACTGCTACTAACTAAAGAGGGATACAAAAAGTCTTATTTATTTAAAGAGTTGCGCGACATGACTAGTAAACACTGCTAATAAATTAAGTCATGAATCTATAGTTTCTTCGAATTTATTCTTACCATAACACTCTTTCTACGCCTCAGCTAGGGTAAATAAACAGGTCAATGACATCACTCAAATCATTGATCGAAATCTTCTCATCGTCCTACGAACTGTCTTGATGAAGCACCATTTCAATGGTGAGAGAAACCCTATCCGGGGTAGTCTATTTAGCGCTTTTAAGAAAAATATTTCCAGATGAGATGGCAGGTGCTATGGTACAGTACCCACGAACACAAATCCTCTGAGTGGAAAAAAACGGGTAGTTTAGTTCTTGCAAAAAACTCTTTAGGTTACACGAATTGCAAGTCTAAAAACAGTCGGAAGTGATGTAAACTAGCCAAAGTAACAGACTGTGTGATCAAAAGATAGATAACCACTTCAACGGAATCAACTGCAACCTTATATGTTTCCAAAACAGTAATGTTATGACATCCAATGGAACTAATTAATCTGGACTGCCTGTATGCAACTTGCTTTCCAGCATATTAAGAGACTGGAGAGAGAGAGGAACGTGACAAATATTGGGTTACAAGGAACACAGTTGGTAGCAAACATTGAGTAGTATTCCACCATCGGAACAGTAATTTGAATAATTACGTAGAGAGAAGTATCAGACATAACTGCAATAAAGCAGATAGATGACAAACAATTCTACTTTTTCTCCATTAATGGAACTGCAAAAGTGATACTTTTCAATATGGGTACAAAGCACTACTCACTGTCATGGCAACTTGATATATCTCATATGCTTCAACTTAACTCATTTCCTTATTTTCAAATGTGTTTATCGTACGCTAAATAATAACAGAACTTCAAGCCTTTCATCAATAAGTCGAAGGTCAATCAAAATAGCCAAGAAATAAAGTCATCTCTGCTTTAGAAATTCATGTTGGCTAACTTGCTGTCTGGCCGCCTTCATGTGCATCTATCAGTTCACCTGCTCTTCTCGTGGAGCAAGATACATTGGCTGTAATCAGAGGACGACGCCTTCCACACGGATACGAGGACATATTCCAGCTGCATGGCTTTACAAGGGAGAAAAGAAGTGTGCGAAGCTCTATTCTGGAACACCATGATCTCAAGATATTATATAGATTCCATGCTAACTTCCCGCGTTTTCTTCATCACAGACTTGGAAAGATAGCTAAGGCGTTGAAAATCCATGACTTTAAGCCAGACCTTTTCGTACAAAAGAAGTATGTACAATGCCTACTTCTACCTTGGCCGTAGAGGGACATTCATTTATTTATTCTATGTACTTTTCCCTTATTACTACGATTATTATTATTATTACTACTATCCTCACTCTGACTCTTTTCGACTTGACCCACTTGTGGACCCAAAATTAGTAATTTTTATATTTTTACAATATTGAATTCTATCTTATCAAATTTCACACCATGTTACGTAACATTTTATATTCGTCTACTAATCCTATAATTATGTACCCCTTTCCAAAATCTATACACCGTATGTATTATTCTATATATAACATTAATTATTTTGCCACTTGACATTAAACCATGATTATAATCACAAACATTTTAGTTTTAATTGCATTTCATACTACTATTATTATTTCACGTATTCTCACGTTTGACCTAATTCCCTCACCGGATATAATATCTTAAAATAAAACCATATATATACGAATGTACAGCTTGATAATAAATTCGTTGTTGAAAAGAGTCTCTTCGCGCTGAATATTCTGTTTTTAATGCAGCAATGGGGATTATTAAACTTTCATGAAAACAATATGAGACATTCACCAAGAACAAGTATCAGTCGACAACATCTATCAATGTTACAATTCTTTAAAAAGTACAAAACTTAAGACAAAATCCAAATATGCTTATTTGTAGAGTGTAAGTAAGTAAGTAGTCAGTTATACCACAAAACAGTAATAATTTAAATAGTTACAGCATTAGTTTGTTTTGTTTATTTCTTGTTACAGGAGAGAGACTGAATGAGGTGAAGTGAACTGCAAGCCAATAAACTTCAATCACTGAAAAAGTAGGAAGGTTTAACACAGCAACAACACAGAGAAAGGACAAAAGGAGACGTTGAAGAACTACTGACTGAAAACCTAAGACGATTAGTAGTCCAGAAAAGACATCAGTTGAATTTTGTCATTGCATAGCGGATACCCGTACGACGTGCTACAAAGACAAAGAGAAAGAGAGAGAGTAGGGGAACAGTGATTAAAAAAAATGAGAAATCCATACACTACACAATCTTGAGAAAAAAACAGCTTTGCAACACAAATGGGAAAAAATTTTGAAAGGTAATTAATTGCCTTACCATGTGAAAAGCTTATTTAATACACACTTTATTAGAGTAGTAACATTTGTAGGATAACTTTGTAGTCACGAGAAATAGTAATAAGCATTAATGTTCTTTTTCGTATATTAGGTGTAATTTGGCAATGGACATTGTGATTTAAACTTCACCAATGAAATAGTTAAAATGTCGCACACTGTTAGAAAATGTATTTTAACACAGTAAGCACACTGATGACACTGGAACTCAGTTATTACACGCGTTAGGTCACTTCTTACCTGAAATATATATATATATCGTAAGGCTAATTGGCAACCACGCGCATCTAGTCAAGGTTCGATTCCCAGCCAACGAACTCTCCTAAACCTCACTTAGCTAGTAGTGAGTCCAGTTTGGGGGGAGGGGGAAGTTGGACACGAGACCACCGCTACTGAGACTTTGAAGCTAACGCGCCAGAAGCCCAATCTAATCTACCCGGAAGGCTAAACAACGAGAGGAGAAAAATCAGTAGTAGTGGAGATTGGTTAAACATTACCCAACGTAATGCTACCAATCTCACCTCCCCTTAAGTAGCAGAGTGGTCTACGATGAAGTGGGAAAAAATAAATGGAATACATAATTTATTTTTTATTACAGGTATGGAATTTTCAGCGTGTGATATCGGTCGCCCAAATTTTACAGACCGACCATAGATATTAGGTGTGCGTCGGCAGGGGACCATGTGCATGGTCGGCGAGAGTCCTAACCGCTCTGCCACCGGCGCATGGTGATTTTACTTCATTTTGGTTTGAAGTTACCCACTCCAGAGTTCTTGCAGACCTCAAACATTAGTCTAGTACGGTATGTTGGAGAACTTTATTCAATTATTATATCTGTCATAATTGTGTGTGTCAGAATTCAATGATAAGTCACTGACTTGACTGAAATGCAGTTATTAGGCGTTTATTATGTGCAGATACGATTATATACTCCGCGATTAATAGTATTTATCGAAAAGGTTATGTGGAATCAGCCTAACAGCTGTAAGGCATAATCACTGTTTGAAGTGTACATATTCTGGTGGTTTTTTGCTCTATTAGGAAATGTGACAACTAACCCTTATAAAACAAACTATAGAAAATTAATCCGATGCTATCTAGTGACTTGCTACAGGATGGGGGCTCCTGGAGTCAGTTCTAGTGAGAAGTTGTGACCAGTGATGTCCAATTAGATGTCACGTGTGTGGATGGATGTCCCACCAAAGACAATGGTTAGGGTCGCGCTAATTCACGAATTCATAGAAGTTAGAATTCATGAGCCATTGAATCGGGTCCCAGTGGCTGAATGGTATACGAGCTTGCCTTGTAACCCAAAGGCCCTGGGGTTCGAATCCCAGTGGGTGCGTTCTGTCGATGATTCCCAAACTAGGATGATACAGCAACTGTCCAGTACCCTCTGGCTTTCAATGATCCTCTAACTGATATCAATCTGTGATCAACTCGTAAAAAATGTGACAACGTTGATCACTCTTAGAGTTACAATTATATATATATATATATATATATATATATATATAAATATGGAGCTCGCATTTCCAAGTATAGTGTAAAAGCACACACTTGTACTGTTTCTCTTATATGAGGTAGGTGACCATACTAATCAGTTATTTAAAAAAAAAGATGTCACGTATTGCGTGAGCGGAATGGGCAGTGAAACCCGCTGATGGATATAATTGTGGATACAGTAATCAGTCCATTCATTAAGTGATATCGGTTAAACACATCAATTGTGTAATTGCCTCTGACTGGTCTAAGCGCTATAGCTCACTAGTAACTACTATGTATCAGTGTTTCAACGGTAGGATACTTGCCAACCACGCTCGTGATACGACTTAGATTCTCCGGCATAGCATTCGTAGATGTCAGTTGGCCGGGAATAAATCTGGTAAAGAGGAGAATTTGAGCATCAGGCTGGCAATCCTACTGAAGCTTAAGCTTGAAGTCTCACGTCCCTCTCTCTCACAACGAGAGATAAATAAAAAAAAGTTGGATATCAATGATCATTAAACTCAAAAATCACAAAAAGGAACATGGACAATATATATCCTCGAATCGTTCAATAACCAATGAAAATTCAAACAAAAATGTGCGCGCACATAATAATTTAAGTAAGTAAGTAAGTACACACAGATACATATCACAGTCAAATAAAAAAGTTTAGTTGTGAGTACTGAAAACATAAATAAAATGACCAACGGATACAAATTAGTTGTGTGCATAGACTTTGAGGTTGTTGTTTTTTTTAACTGAGAGTATTTCGAAGAATATTGATAATAAAAACAAGAGTCACCCTCAATTGTTCACCAAGGAAGGGATACAAACACGCTTGTTAGAGTTAGTGTTTATATATCCATCAAACAAAATACCCATTTATATGATAGAATTAAACTCAGGTACATGGGAACAGACCTATATGGTTATAGCTATGAAGAAATACCTTACACCTTGTTGAAGTGGAAAAAGGCAAATACACACTTTATATAAATATTAGGCTAGGTGGTGTACACACATAAAATTAATTATAAAATAAGAATCTTAACAGATTAGACTGGTAATTGCGAAATCGAGGAGACTTAGGTATCTAAGATTTAAACTACAGGGGGAGCACGGCACAGAAGAGGATATCAAAGCCAGTCAGGATTGGAAAAGTGAGACATCAGACCTTCAACAATCTGGAAATCTACTGCACTCAGCAATGGATTAAGATTTTCAACACTAATGTCAAACCAGCTAGCGGTACTGTATATTTCAGAGACTTGGTGAGGCGCTCGCTCACGAAGACCAATTTCAACAAACTGGAGAATTTGCAAGTATTGGTTTTGTAGGGATTTTGCTTAATTGGTTAGAAGATTTCATCATGAGCTGATATCAGTTAGAGAATCACTGGGAAACCTGAGAGTACTGGGCAGCTGTTTCGTCCCGATGGGTGTGAACTTTTGAAGAGTCCCAAACTAGGACGAAACAGCTGCCCATTACTCCCAGGTTTTCCAGTGGTTCTCTAACTAATGTCAGCTCATGAGAAAATCCTCCATGCAATCAAACTGGAGAACTTTGTCAACAGCTACCATCGCCTTATACTGAGTATCAAATGGGCGGACAGAAATGAGTAAAAAAGTTGAAACCCAGTAGCCAACGAGCCAACAAATATGCAGAAGGAAATGAAGATGGATTGAATACACTGATGAAACCGTTAAATGACGTCAAAACATACCAATCCAGCCATCGAGCGGAATCCGAAAAGGTAAGTGATGAGTTCGGTGTGGAAACGAAAGTGACATGGAGAGGATTGACTATCTTTCCTTACCTAACACTTTATGCCAAAACGCAGTATTACTTACCATATTATTACACCATTTAACAAAGGAGAGAGAGAACGCAAACACTTGTGGTAAAAAACAATCAGCCATTTTAGATTTTCCGCTTTCAATGGACAGATATTACAGTCACGGGGAGGGACGGAGCGAACTGCTGCATAGAGGACACGCCTCAGAGACTTGGTACACATATAGTGATGAAAAAGAATTTGTTTCAAGTCCCAGACAGTCCAGTACTCTCCGGTTTTCAATGATTCTATAACTGATATCAATCCGTGATGAGACTTGGGAATTATTTAAAAATATCTATCTCCTTGAATTGATGGAAGGAAGGTAGTTTTGCACAAATACCACATTCACGCAGTTAGTAAAATATACCACGCTTTCTTTACCTTTCACTCAGTATTAGAGTTTGCCTAACAGAAGAAGTTTCACAATGTACTCCAATAAATCTGAGAATTTCAACAGTGGGAGGAGATTTTCGGAGGAAATAGATGTCACTTTGAAAAGAAATAGATAAAACTCTACACGGACTGAGTTTTGACAGAGAACTAAGCACAGATTTTCTGCAATTCAATTTGCCACACAGACAAAGAGGTAGTGAAAAAAGAAAGTTAGAACAAATATAATAAGCGAAAATGTCAGGGAGGAAAGGATGGCAACATAAAAAAAACAGGGTTTAGTAGATCTGTAAGACTACACAGAGTGAATGCATCTGCACCATTGGAAACCACTTTTAGCCTATATCTCCAGCTATTGATACTTAGCATCCATAGGAGTTCAACAAGGCAGTGTACCATCCCTCTATAAATGGCTCGCTCGAACTAACTGTCAAAAAGCTTCACGAAGTGATTCCAAATTTTCTAATATACAACTACAACATTCAGTAGATGGATGGATGTACGCATCCTGGTGGATTTGTTTTTTGCTTAATGGTATAAGGGAACAAATGATAAAAGAACCATCAAAAAAAGGAAAAAGAAGTCATCAATAATGTAAGTAAGGGTCATGATTACAGAGCATTCATTTCACGTGTCACAGCAGTGAAAGTTTACGCATGATAACGACAGAGCAGAGAATAACAACTGAAAAGCTTGGTTACAAGAAGCACTTGCAGCTTAATTTCAAATTTATCTGGAAATTCTAGCAGTTCAGTATTACGAAACAAAAGTTGTATCATGGGAAACACGACTTTAGTAGTTAACGCTGCATTCAATTCAGGTGTGCGAGTCTGTTATGTACTCGTCACTAAATTATTGTTATGGACTGGTCGAGAATTTAATAGTCCTGACGCAAGAAGGCGGAAATCAGAAGACCACTAGGTTTGCGATGATACTTCTATTGTCCAAACAAAAGGAGACGAAAATAAATGGTCTCACACCAAAGTGGTAAGTAAGTAAAGTAGTTCACAATTTGTGTGAGCGAAATATATATGACAAGGGTGTGAACAATCATTAGACAGTCTTAACATGAATGGATAATTATAATGAAGTATCGATCCATATATACATAGCGAAATTTAGCAGACATGTCAACAACCACCATATATGGATATATGTCACCAAGCAACGGACTGTCAACAAACACTCATATTATATATAATATAAGGAGAATATACATTGTTAAAGGAGACAGGTTCATACAAGTGAAATGGTCACAGACTAAGCGAGCAAAACAGAAAGAGAGACCAACATACACACACATAAATATATATATGTGGATACATATCAGAGTCGCTTATTAATACATTCAAAGCCTTGCCTGACAATGAAGGACGTCATATCTATCAACAACCAGTAGGTACTTCCTGATGATAGTTGTCAAGGTAATAAAGACCAGTAGTTTAATGTGCTGCTGCTCACCGACCATTTGCAACTCCATACAATTAGTAGCCAATGTGGTGCATCTATTAAGTAAGAAGTGGTTATACTACCAGGGACTACCCAAACCTCAATGGGTGGAGTGAAGTTTAAGCCCGTGACCAGCTGGTATTTTATGTGATGAAAATAGTATCAGGCAAGAATTAACTAACCTTCTTTCATCTAGTAAATAAACAATTTCCTACATCCATCCATCCTTAGATACCTTCAAGTTTTACTTTTATTACTTCTATTATATTTATGGTCCTGTTAATTCTCTGTTTTACTCTCATAATTGCAAACACCAACTTATCTCTATGACTGCTGTAATCTTTGGTTTTTCCCTCACCATATCATATAAAGAGAACATTATATTCAGTATTTTTAAACATGCTAGGATTTCTATACCACATCGACAATACTGTGTGAAACAAGCCCACGGCAAATTTCACTTGTATTATTACTATTATTACCCTAGCTGTTATCATTATTATTATTTCCATTTTATATGCTGCATGTTTCTAACATTACCCCTATTGTAAATGTGGAAGATTTTCTGTGTGATTACTTTTATTTATAATTTGAGTAAATTAGATGCAATATTGTGATTAATGCTGAAAATTCCATTCTGTATCACAAGTACGGTTTTTTGGAATAAAGTAAATTATTATTATTATTAGTTGTTGTAAGTTGAGAGCCTAGACAAATGGGCCACGACTCTACAAAAGACAACACTAGAGTAAAAAAATGAAATCTACAAGGACCTGAGATGGCAGCTTACTGGCAATTAACACAACTTCTCACTGATAAGGTTAAGATGTATATTTCACTATGCTTAACTTAAATCTGAATACAGGATTTCATCATGAGCTGACATTCGTTAGAGAACCATTGGAAAACTTGGGAGTACTGGACAGCTGTTTCACCTTAGCTTTGAACTCTTCATCAGTACGCACCCACCGCCAGGGTTCGAACCCAGGACCTTCTGGTTATAAGGCGAGCTCGTATACCATTAAGCCCCTAGGGCCCAATCCAATGGCCCATGAATTCTAACTTCTTCGAATTCATGACATAGCGCGACCCCTAGCGAAATCTGAATAACCAGGACCTCGTAGAATATGACTCATATAGTTTAGTATTAAACCTTTTATCGTGTGTGCATAACACTGGAAAGATAATTTTCAAACAGTAGCCAAAACTGTATTGCTTATACCGTCGCAGACAACATCGTGCAAGAAAGAGGCTTTTCGCCTAATCACCCCCATCACCCCCAACCTCCCAGAACACACACACACACATCCTGTACATAAGGACAAAAGTCGTAAAAAAAACTGTGAGGAAAAAAATACTCGAAACACTCGGTGAATAAGAACCAAACAAATAAAATGCGGAAATCATTTTAAACGAGATAAAAGTTGTTGTGTGTGTGTGTGTGTTTAGAAGAAATTAAAAAGAAACAATGTACACATATAATTTATAATCCAGTTACCAAAAAACATTTCTTATCAAGGTTAGAATGGACAGAAAAGCCAAAAGCAATCCACTCGAAATAACTCACCACTGTGTATGTGTGTATTACACAAATGTCTGGCGTCTCACTGGAATTATTGATACACAGATATTTTAGCAATAATATATATATATATATATATATATATATATATATATATATATATATATATATATATATATAAGTTCAAGGAAGAATAGACGATGAACTACTTAACTACAACATAAGTTTATTTGTCAGCTGTTGGACGGAGTCAACAGGAAGCCTTGGATCAATGTTTTATTCATTCGTCAATCAGCCAGGTGTATCTGAGATCTTGAAAGGAACTTACATCCCTTCTGTGATAAGAACCCGGGGTCATCCAGGGCCGTAAAATCAGAGCTATCTGCGCTCAAGATTATCCTCCGTTCTGACTGTAATGGACAATTTTGAGTGAATACTAGGTAATAACCTAATCTGTGCATTTAGTCCTTCGTTTGTTGCAGACTGAATTCTATCAGTCAGCATTGATGACAACGAGTGCCAACAAGCATGAAATCTAGATACAAGGCTACCTGTCGATCTGTCTCTAACTACTTAACAGCAATTCATGGTGGGTTCAGTGTGAAAGTATGAGTTTATTTACACAATAAAGAGTGTGAAAGTAATACATTTACAGCAGACCAGTTATTTTAGCGGTCAATCAGTATACTTTAAATATCATTCAGGGGATGACAACCAGAGATTTCGGTCAGTTATGCCATTTGTCGCTACCTTCTCATGGGTGTACTATTAGATATGGCTTTAATTGACTTTAGCGAATAAGAGATTCGCTTGTTATCCGGTGAAATATTCTCGTTGATGATATCATCAGTCAAGGTGAATACACAAGCAGAATGCAGAGTATTCTGAACAACTTGAACAGAAATCTTAGTGGTTGACATACAATTAGAACCTCTCAAATGTAAGATAATGTTGCACTTCTGTTCAAAGTTCTATGTTGAAACTCAGGCAGATAAGAGGGAAAAATTTAACCATAGAAAGGAATATTTGAAAGTTGTTAGGATAAAAATATTCCGTAAATTTTTTTCCAAAGACATACAATCCATCATCTCCTCCTTCTTAAGATGATATATGAGCGTTTTTCAGCAAAATTCAGGTACCCCACAAATACAGTCAAGTTACTATATAGTCAGAACAACGCATTTCATTACACTCAGTAATGGAGGCGATATTATCTAAGTCGATGAGTCACAGCTTCGTTAAGTTAAAAAATAAGGTACTCAGAAACTTCAGAAACCTTATTTTTAGAATCAAGAAAGTGTTGTGAAGACTGTCACTGCATGTTTATATATCTATATATCCCCATGGTAATTTGTCTGTGTTGGATATAAACTAAAAATTCAGTTGAAGACGAAAAAGGAGGTAAATGCATGATGGATTAAGCTAGCATACAGCGTGTTTGATGCCTTCAATCTTAGACAGACATAGAACTGACGAGCTACTTAGTTGCAAGGCATGATAACTGGGATCAGTATTATAATTGTGACATGTAGATTACAAGCGGCAATTATAAGTGTATAAAAACAATCCCACTTACTTCCTTGATATGATTGAGAACCTGTGGAGAAATATAAAAAACAGGGAAATTATATAATGTTCAAAATTCAGTGGTTTTAGTAGGCAAAATGAATTGCGGATAAAATAACACAACACTAAACATTCGGTTGAATAAAATCTCTCTCTCTCTCTCTCTCTCTCTCTCTCTCTATATATATATATATATATATATAATATTATAACTGACTCCAAACAGTCTTTTTGACACAATTATGTAATTTTCAGCATGTGATATCGGTAGCTCAAATTTTGCAGGCCTACCATTGATATCGGGTGTGCGTCGGCCGGGGATCGAACCCCAGACCATGTGCATGGTCGGCGGGCGTCCTAACGGCTGTGCCACCGACGCATGCATCATATGAACGATAAAATATCGCTATGTGGTTCTAAAAGGCACATCTGCGTGCATATTTTCCTAACTTAAGTCTATGATTTGTGAACTCATTAAGGAAGATACAAACGATTCACTTAGAGTGTGTAGCTTACTGCTGTGTACAAATGGCATGTGTATTCGTAACATTATACCTGGTAAACAATTAAGTTATTTTTTTTAAAACGTAGTAGTATATTCCCCTGTAAGAGCTCCATCGTTTTAACTACAAGGGGGACACGGATGAGGATGACAAAGTAGAGATTAGAAGAAAGAGATTTCATGCGTCATCAAAAGCAAAGGGCGGGTGTACTGCTCATCAGTCCGCTCCGTCCTCCTTTATGGTTGTGAGACCTGGCCACTGAGAGTGGAAGACATGAAAAGACTAGCTGTCTTTGATCATAGGTGCCTGCGTTCTATTTCCCGTGTAAAGTGGCATAATAAGGTGAGCAACATGGAGGTTAGGCGTAGAGTTCTAGGTAAACAGGGGAAATCAATCGACGAAGCCGTGAAGCTACAAAGACTGAGATGGTTAGGACATGTGTTACGTATGCCAAGCCATCGCCTCCCTCGACGAGCTATGTTAGCGGATATAGGGTCAGACTGGAAAAAAGCTAGCGGCGGTCAAACAAAAACTTGGCATCAGTCAATGAAATCCACAACAGTTGGTCTAAGCCACGTAGGGAGGCGTAGGCTTCCAGGCTGGGGTCCTCGGGACGGTAAAAACCTATGGTTGGAAACAATTGGTGACATGGCTCAAAACCGTTCTCAGTGGCGCAGATGCATCCACTCCCTGTGACTTATGATCTCCAATGAAACTGTTTTTTATTTCTTTATTACTCCTTTGTCTCACACCTCTGCTCACTGTTTCTATTATGCTTTTCTTGTACTTTCTTCTCTTGCTTCGCGTGCTACACGGAATGTGGCGACTTGAACTTCCGCACATTTGTGCAAAGTTCTATGTCGAAAACAGACAGACAGACAAAAGCATTTCCAACGAGCTGCTGAAGACTGTGGACATTGATAAACAGCTGACTTCGCTGCATACTGAAGATGACAAAGTCAATCAGAAAGGATAAGTAAAAAAGGAACTCTAGTGACGAAAGAACTAACAATCTATTGTTCAACAAATATGCAGAAGGATGGATCGGACACATCCTGAGGAGATACCACCTTTGAGTAACAGCATACATTAGGCCATCGCTCAGGTGGAACCTGAATGGGGAAAGATGAGTTAGGCATGAGTCCGAGGGTGACATAGGGAAGACTATATGAGAGATAGATGAGAGCCTACGGGTGATAATCGCGGAGATAGCTGAAGAAGACTGAAAAGAACAGGATGAAATGGAAATATGCAGTTGAAGCCGTATGCCCTACTCGGAGCCCAACGGAATAATAATAATAATAATAAATTAGAGCTGAAAAACGAGTAAACGTTTGCTGTACGGAGAAACACATCTATTGTGATTATAGCTATCGGCCAGGTATGAAGTCCTCTATGTTAACTGTTTACGTTTTCAGAACTCAAAATAACTCCGAAAACACACATCTCGCGTACTGATTGTATTTAAGGTAAATGATGCCCAGCTGAGCTAGGCAGAGCGAGATTCGAACTCAGATGTCACTTCCTTTAAATCAATAAGCTTAGTCTAGTACATGAATACGTTTTTAAATATTTAGGAAGTTGATAAATGCATGTGATATGGTTTCACAGTTCAAGAAACATTATCAGATGAAGGAATACTACGATTAAATTACAATAATATAGGCTTAATGTGCGTTGGTAGGAATGCTTGGCAATCACACACACACGTGGCCCGGGTTCAACTCCCAACCGACACACTCCTAAACCTCACTTAACCGGTAGTCAATCCGGTTAAAAGAGAGGAAGTTAGGTGTGAGACAGACATCCCACCACACCCTAAAATGAAAACTACAGCTACTGGAACTTCAAAACTCAAAAACTTGAAGGTCAATGTTCCACTTTTAGGACGCAAAAGGGGTAAATAGATATATATGAACTTAATGTAAAGGAAATCCAAAATATTAGTTTTATATATGCAAAAAAAATAACAATAAACACTAACCTTTCAACCCGGATAATCCACCACTGCGACTTTCAACCAATTTGTCATTCATTTCTACTATACTATTGACTTTATCGCTTAGCTGTAGCGCAAGAGCTTGAAGTCGTGAACGTTCTGTCTTATGCATTATTAACGCATCGCTGGGAACTTCTAAAGATGCCTTTTAGGTGGTAAAAACAAAAATTAAAATCCCTTAGTGTATAAAAAACCAACATAGAAAAGATACTACACGAAAAACAAATTTTTTAATGATGATAATTTCTTTCCGCTTAAATCAATAAAGTCTTTATAGCCACTCCACCTTAACTGACTGAAATGCCCAGTCAAACTGAAATAACGCTAATGGAGTAACTATTTCAAGTATAGGTTTGTAGGGATTTGGTTGACTGGTTAGAGGATTTCATCATGAGCTGACATTGTTCAGAGAACCATTAAGAAAACCAGGCGGTACTGGACAGCTGTTTCGTCCTAGTTTGGGACTCTAGTGGGAAGTCGTGACCAGTAGGATGCAGCAGGTCGTGTGTGAGGACAAATAGTCGCCGAAGACATTGGCTAGCGGCTGCGCTATGTTGTGAACTGACATTGGATCGGGTCCCAGTAGGAGAATGGTCTACGAGCTCGCCTTGCAACCAGAAGGTCCTGGGTTCGAACCCTGTGGTGGTGGGTGCGTAGTGCTGAGGAATGACCATTTGTTAGACGACAATGATTTGTACCAACAGTGATGATGATGATGATGCTTACAGTTTTTTTCAAGAGACTGAATGGTATAACTTTTGGTAACCAGATGGTTTTTATGAAACAGGACACTGTTGACTGATATAGATGAAAAATTTATTTTAAATTATACATGAAGCTGGAAACTTCTGACTTCAATAGAGTGTAGTGTACTAGTTCATCCACTCTTACCCTCTCTCAATACTTTCTAAGTGCTTGTTATGCACGATATGATTAATTTCAAGATTAATCAAGAAATTACTTCAGGTAGAGAAGTGAATTGCTATTTCGTCGTTCCTGGATTCCTTCACAGCACCGAAATGGTTGCCTTGTCTCAATTTCGGTCCTCTGTGGAGACTTGTGTGCGTACTGTTGAATAGAACCGAATTAGGACGAAACACTCCATGATTTCCAATGGTTCTTTTACTATTGCTCAATGAATATATATTTTATTCATACCTATTTTGATAGGTTACTCACAGTTGGCATTTATATATATATATATATATATATATATATGAATACAAAAATAGTAATAACAATGGAATTAATAATACTAACTTACAGCTAATTCTTGATTAATTATCATTTTACAAATAATTGAATAGGTTGTAGCTTTTGGTAATTCAAAATAATTTGATAACCGGTCTAAACTCATTGAATCGTGTATTGCACTGTAGGTGAATAAGAAACTTCGTAAAGACTCTTCTTTAATCTTAACTTCAAGATTCTTTTTCACCCGACCCGATTCGAACAATAAATCCCAAATCTGGTAAGATATTTAGAAAGAGTGAAAAGAAATCAAGTGTACAGACGTGAAGACATTTCGGACAAGGATACTTTTTTTTTGCTAGAAACAAAAGTTACTCACAATGAGCAGTTGCAATCCTATGCATCTGGCAATGAGCCTTAGCTATTTTATTTAAGGACTAGAGATACTTCTTGATGGTTACCCAAACCTCGCTCGGTCTGTCTGTCTGTTTTCGACATAGAACTTTGCACCGATGTGCACCAGTTCAAGTCGCCACACTCCATGTACCACACAAAGCAGGAGAAGAAAGTGGAAGAAATGCATAATAGGGACAGTAAACAGAGGAGTGAGACAAAGGAATAGTAATAATGAAGAACAATATATTTTTACCGGGTATTATAAGTCACAAGGAGTGGATGCATCTGCACCAGCCATTGAGAACGATTTTGAGCCATGTCACCAATTGTTTCCAATCATTGGTTTTTACCGTCCCGAGGACCCCAAACGGTTAGGAAGTCTACAACTTACTACGTGGCTGGCTTAAACTAACTGTTGTAGATTTCATTGACTGGTGCCATGTTTTGGTTTGACCGCCGGTAGCTCTTTTCCAGCCTGACCCAATGTCAGCTAACATTTCCCATTGTCGAGGAAGGCGATGACTAGGCATATGTAACACATGTCCTAACCATCTCAGTCGATGCAATTTCACGGCCTCGTCGATTGATTTCCCCTCCTTACCTAGAACTCGACGGCTAACCTCAATGTTGCTCACCTTTTTGGAAGTCGTAGAGTCAAGTGAAACTGACGACAAAGAACCAAGAGGAGTGGAGATATGCTGCTGACATCCTATATTCCCCTCGGAACTCAAGGAATGAATAATGATTAATAATTTATTATAATATTCAGTTAATTATACTGAATCTTATTTAATAATCATGCATCACATGGATCACATCACAGCTTACCTTAGCATCCATTTTTGGATTAATGATAAAATTGGTACACGCTTTCCAATTTCCATAACGCATAGCCTTAGCAGCAGCTAACACATGATCTCTTGGTGTTTCAGGTGGTCCAACTAGAGCAGCACGATCATGAACACGTAAGGCAAGGTGGAATGGTTTACTAATAGGCCGCCAACGCAAATCTGTTTCATGAGCTAAAAAAAATTAGCAGGCAAGAAAGAAAGAAAGACCCATTCACGTATGTTGTCAACAACAGTAAAAGACAGACAACTTTTTTTTATGGTGAATACACCCATCCACTACACTTACCCGCTAAATTTGGAATCTCCAAAAGCATTGCAGACACTAGATAGACACATTCTATCAGATCAATATTTATGTACATATGATACGGCATCTGTAGGGCTTGTTCACGTTTCTCTTCTTCTGTAGTTTTTTCATATCTTGATTGTGTATGAAGTCCTTGAGCGAGTAGTTCACGAATACGATTTGATCCAATCATATCGGCTAAAGCATTGTGAGCATCACGAATATGCGATTGACGGAAAGCGCATAGACCAAGTTGGACCATTGCACGATTATACAGAATCTACAGAGTAATCGTAAGTATAGTGATTAAGTAAAAGTAAAACGAATGCTGCAAACTCATCACAACACTGGAAGAATATTGAAATTTTTACTTTTGGTTTACATATTTGATCCTATGTTAGATAAAGGTTGAAAAACACTGAGTTCTGAATGACAGTGAAAAAAACTATTGAGTCTTTTGCATGGCTATAAATCATACCGTTTATAGGACTTCATCATTAGCTCACATTAGTTACAGAACCATTGGAAAACCTGAGAGTACTGGTCAGCTGTTTTGTCCTAGTTTGGGACTCTTCATCAGTACGCACCCACCGGGGTTCGAACCCAGCACCTCCTGGTTACAAGGCGAGCTCGTACACCATTAAGCCACTGGGACCCGATCCAATGGCACCAGTCCATGTATGCTAACTTCTGCCAATTCACGACATAGCGCGACCCCTAGCCAACGTCTTCGGCGAGTTTTTGTCCTGGGCCACTGGATCGGGTCCGAGTGGCTTAGTGGTATACGAGCTCGCCTTGTAACCAGAAGGTCCTCGGTTCGAATCCCAGTGGATGCGTACTGCTGAAGAGTCCCAAACTAGGACGAAACAGCTGCCCCGTACTCCCTGGTTTAACAATAGTTCTGTAACTAGTGTCAGCTCATGATGAAATCCTGTCACCAATCAAATACCCACAAACCAACACTTGAATATCATACTGTTTATGTTACAGAGTTGATGAGACCTTCTTAGGTGAGGGAAGGTTCAAATCCGTGAACCATTGGTTAAAATCCAAACCTCTGACTCACTGCACTACAAAGTGCTATGTTGGGATTCAAAAAAGTGAGTATATAATAATTATAATAGCCTTGTCCTGAACATGTCCAAATACTGATATGTGGATATATATATATATATATATATATATATATATATATATCGGTTTTCGTTTGTAAATATACTCATACGGATAATGAGACATGCTTTTCGTCTCAAGTCGTTGTGTTTTGGTTTAAAAAGTGAGGGCATGGGAATTACGTAGCTGTTATATACGATAATGGAGTAGCCTATCAATATGGTGCAATGACTGCATCCGTGTCCAGCTCGGAATCCCTACTCAACAATTTTGCAAAATGAAAAATACAAACGACAGAATTTTCAGCTTCGTTTTATCTACTCCATATATCAATCGACTGGCTTTTGTTCTATCTGCAACATGCTCCGATACCCGAAATGTTTCTCCTTTCATAACAGACCAAGGAGTACATTGAAAACGATTCAGAGATGCACTTGCGTGCAGATTGCTCTTCAAGAATGACAAAAAGTGTGTTAAAACAACAAGGCATAACTGAGTACTCTCATTTTACTCATTATGCTCTATGCATTTTCAACACCAATGTGAAGTGAATTCTTCTACGTTGTTTCAAAATTTTTGACAGAGGTGCTTCACAAAGAATATCTCCAACACGCCACTGTGGACTTTCATCAACAACTGCCTTCAATGGCTTTACATTGAAGATACGATGGCAAGTTGGAAAGGATAAGTAATGAGGACCTCTGGGAACACACCGAATAAGAACCTATTGCTCAACAAATATGCTGAAGATAGTGAAGGTAGATTAGACACATGATAAAGAGACATCGTGCGCCAGATGGACGCTCGAGTGGAACCCAAATGAGAAACGACAAGTAGGGTATTTGAAGGTGACACATGGAAGAGGTCGTGTAGGGAGGAGATGAGGACTTATCGGCAGTCGTGGACCTTACTGAAAAGTAATGCAAAGAGTAGGACAAAATGGGCAATTACTGTTGAAGCCCTATGCTCTACTCACGAACTAAGGTAATTGAAATAAATAATAGATGCACCAGGGAAAATTAGGTGGCCCAACTAATTGAACAAACATCCGGATAATATTGAATACGACTAACAAGTTTGAGTAACAAACAGTATTCAAACCCTCAAAATAGTTGCAACATAATCAGTGTCTAGGGGTCGCGCTATGTCGTGAATTGGCAGAAGTTAGCATACATGGACTGGTGCCATTGGATCGGGTCCCAGTGGCTTAATGGTATACGAGCTCGCCTTGTAACCAGGAGGTGCTGGGTTCGAACCCCGGTGGGTGCGTACTGATGAAGAGTCCCAAACTAGGACAAAACAGCTGACCAGTACTCCCAGGCTTTCCAATGGTTTTCTAAGTAATGTCAGCTCATGATGAAATCTTGTAACCAATCAAATCCCTACAAACCAACGCTTAAATAATCAATGACGTGGATATACTGTGATTTGCTAATATGATCATACACTATCTACATAATTGCTTGTTGTTGTCGAAACTCAGTTAAAGCCGAAGATTCATTAATAGCCAGGTTGAACCAGACACGTTGTATAAGAGCTGTTAAGATTAGCCTCTAGTTGCTCAGAATGAAACAGATGCAATGGGATTTGAACCCGGGACCCACTGGTAAGTGGAGGGCTAAGGCCAGTGAGCTACATTTCTATACTCCGCATAATTATAACGCTTTTGCTGCATTTATGATTTTTATACTTTCATGATATGGCGATGATGGAAGTTTGAGAATTTTCGCCTTACTCCCTTATTCTTTGTAAATTTAGATAAACAGTAGAGTGCAGAATGAAAGAGAGAGAGAAAAAGCTAACCCTAACTGCACAATAAAAAACTTACCATAGTTGATTGATCCGCATGTTCTATTGACATTTGTAGGTTGGACATCAACATTAAATCACGCGCTTTAAACCATTGATTGAACAGAGCTAAATGATAAATATGACAGAGGATTGCTCTAGTACGCAAGCGGTCAGTTCGATCATGTGTGTATATGTATTCGCTGAGTTTTTGAACAACTAAGGTATTTGGATGCAATCCAACCTCTTCCATACTTGAAGCTTCTACTTTACGACCCCATTCAAAGTCGAACTGAAAAGAATAGTAAAAAAAATAGATAAATAACTGTTTAGAATGAAGTTCATTCAACAGGAAGTTGTGTTAGGATGCTCGCCAACCATGCACATGGTCCGACGTTTAATCCCCGACCGATGATTTTACTGATTGCAGTAGATTGGATAAAGCGACAGACAACGGGCAATGAGAAAACAGGCATAAAATGGACTCACACAAAAAACTTGGAGGATCTGGACTTCGCTGATGATATATGTCTGATTTCCCACAAACTGGAAGATATGCAAGTGAAAAGCAGAAAGTTGACAGAAGAAGCATCTGGAGAAGATAGTACTTCGGATGAACATAGAGAAAATAGAGGTGAAGTTTCCTGAGCAACAGCAACAACAACAACCACAGACAATAATCAGCATAAATGGGAGAAATCTGAAAGAAGCAACCTCTACTACCTACCTACCTGAGGAGCATCGTTTCAACTACAGCCCAACGGAACTGACGAGGATATCAAAGTAGCGGGAATCGGGAAAGCAAGACAAGCTTTCATTACTCTCAAGCCTGTGTGGAGGTCAACAGCACTCAGAATCAAAAATAAGATCCAGACTTTCAACTCCTATGTAAAGTCAGTGTTACTATACGGATCAGAGACTTGGCGCGTCATAAAGAGCACTTCAAACAAACTTCAGACCTTCATCTGTCTGTCTGTCTGGATTCAATATAGAATTTGGCACCAAAGTGCAGCACTTCGAGTTGCCACGTTCCAAATACCACACACACAAAGGTAGACAAGAAGATGAGTGAAGAGAATCAATACAGTCTGACAAGTATAAGAGTGAAACAGAATGGGTAATGGTAGAAAGGAATATGAAAGATTACAGAGACTGAATACATCTGCGCTGGCCATTGACAACGATTTTGAGCCATGTCACCTATTGTCTCCAGCCATTGATTCCTAGAGTCCCGAGGGCCCCAACCCGGAAGTCTGCATCTCCCTACCTGACTCAGTTTAACTGTCATATAGGGATGTCTTCGCTCAATACTAAAGATCAGCAACAGGGATCTCTGGGAATGAGCGAAAAATCCGATCAGGAACCGATTGTGAAACAAATAGGCAGGAAGAAATGGAGATGGATTGGCCATACTCTGAGGAAACCATCAAGTGACATCACTAGACAAGCCATTGCTCGAGTGGAACCCGAAAGGGAAGCGGCGAGTTGGTCGTCAATGCGAGAGTGACTTGGAGGAGGTCATGTGAAGAGGAGATGAAAGCATGTGTGCAAACTTAGAGCCAGGTGAAAACTCTAGCAGAGAACCGAACGCAATGGAGACGTGCGGCTGAAGCCCTAATGTTCCTCTAGGAATTAAAGGAAATAATAATGATGTGTCAGGGAAAAAAGCCACTTAGTATAGAAGCTATACAACCTATCACGATGTTGATTTCAAATCAAGGACGATCACTTCCCACAATCTGATTTTAAAAAGCAGATATCTGATGACAGAAATTCAAGCTTTAAACAGAAGGCATTCTGTACCCCTTGGTTTCCAAATGAGCAGCACCGATCCCAAAAATTAAAGTGATTACCTTCTTCTGCACTACTACTCAAGTTACATTTCTCTTCCTGATGTAATGCATCACGAAAAATGTGAATCTGTAAGGTGAATGATAACGTGTATGCAACGTAGACACAAATAAATGAATAAGCAAGAATGTTAAGCAAAGAAAGATTACGTGTAGGACTTTCAATTCAAAACTAGTCACTAATAATCCATGAAACTTTTGAAATTGTGACAGCTTAGCTTATTCGACGCAGAAGGATACAGATTGTTGAACTAGGAGAGCAGAATTGTTGGGAATGAATGTTGTGGACATTTCTGGTGATTTGGGCTGGAAATTATCTACGGGCGGCAATCCCAACACATATTTACAGTTTGTCAGTGAATTTGTTTCCCTTTCCTTTATTAAATTATTACTATTATTAGCATTGGCATTTTCTGCTGCTCTATGTCGTTTCAGGTGCGTGTATCAACCTGAAGTGATAAACTTCTGCTCAGAGTTTTACGTTCGTTTCTTTTTTTAGTTAGCTAGAAAGAAAGAACCTCTGCCTCTGACTCTGAGAAAGCCTTCGACAGTGTTGACCGTGAAGTGATTTGGAAACTACTCGAGTACTACGGCGTACTCCAAATATTCATCAACCTTATTCAACAGCTGTACGACAACGGAACATGCCAAGTGATCCACAACGGAAACCCACTCAGCGAGGCGTTTGGAGTAAACACAGGAGTCAGACAAGGGTGCTTGCTTATTATCACCAATGAATGATATCCCTAAATGTGGTGGACTGACTGGATTATGCGCCAGACAGTGAGTGGGGAACGAGAAGACAGGGATATCTATCCTGGACCGACGTGAAGAACCTAGAACCTAGACCTGGATTTCGCGCGTGGATGATTTATGTTTGATGTCACACAAAATCGAAGGCTTAGAAGCGAAAACCGACTGACAAACTGGTCGAAGAATCAGCCGTCGAAGACCGGACTCCAGGTGAACATAGATAAGACGGAGGTTATGAAAATAACCAACCAGCATCAACAACAACAAAAACATCCAGTGCCAATCACCATCAACGGGAGGGATTTGTAAGAGGTTACTTCATTCACTCACTTATCTAGGGAGCATTGTCTCACCTACAGGCAGTAGGAACGGACGAGGATGTCAAATCGAGCGAAAATCGGGAAGGCGAGAAACACATTCATCAACATAAAACCAATCTGGAAATCTCCGTCACTCAACATCAACAAAATTCGGATTTTCAATACAAACGTCAAGTCAGTCAGTTCTTCTTCCTATACGGGTCAGAAACTTGGCCGGCGGGTTACAAAGAATATTTCTGACAGCCTGTTTCAGACCTTTATCAACAACTGTCTTCGCTGGCTCTATACTGAAGATCAGATGGCCGGCGCGGAGAGAATCACCAACAAGAAACAACTATGGGAACGAACAACAAAACAAGAACCAGCCGCCAACAAACAAAAATGCAGGAGAAAGTGGAGATGGATTGAACATTCGCTCGCTGAGGAGGCCGCTGAATGACATGGCGCGCGCGTCAGGCCATTGCTCGAGTGGAACCAGGCCGAAAGGGAAGCATGCAGCGAGTGGGACGTCGGTGCAAGGGTGACATGGAGGAGATCATGTGAATAGTTGAGGAGTTTAAACAGTCAGTATGGACTAACATGAATGCAGGTGAAAAGTACAGCAGGAGGAAGACAGAAGCAAGTGGAGACGTGCATTTGAAGTCATATGTCCCACTAGGAGCCATAATAATAATAGAAAGAATCGGATCAACGGGCTGGAAAATACACATTCACACTGATAAAATATCGCTACACATAATTTAATGCTTAAAGAAATTAGCAGTAGGCGGGATGTGTCCTCTTTTGATGATAGCAAAAATAAAGCATGCGGACATTCTATATCCAAACAATGTTTGAAGTATCATTTCAAATAAAGGCGGTACGGATAAAGATGCTAGAATCAACCAGAATCGGAAAAGCAAGACAGACGCTCATTAATCTGAAATCAGTCTGAAAATCTAGTGCATTCACTACAGAGTATAAGATTCAACAACAAGGTCAAATCAGTTCTGCTATATGTGGTTTAAAGACTTGATGCTTTGCCGAAAGACTTTTACATACGCCTGCTTTTAATGGCTCCGTAATGAAGATGGGATTATCGGCCGCATAGGATTAGCAATAAGAAACTTCAGAAACTAATCAGCCAAGGGGAAACAGAGATGGATCAGAGACATTCTGAGAAGACCGCTGTGTGACATCATGGACCAGGTAGGTAGTCAAGTGGAAACCGGACGGCAAACGATGAATTGCGTGTCTAAGGATGACATAGATGAGGTAGTGTAAGGAGTAGATGAAAGCTTATCGGCAATCGTGGGGCCAACTGAAGAAAACTGCAGAGAGCACGGCAAAATGAAGACGTACTGTTCAAGTTCTCTGTTCTACTCGGGACCCGAGGGAATAATAATATATAATATATTGAGTGACACAGATTCTAACTATGAAAGGAACACAGATTTATCAAAAGTTGCGGACGCGCATGGATATATATATACATATAAAGCAGGTTTTATAGTAGGCTTTATAAGTGTTGTTACGTAGTCTAAAAACAATAAACTAATGGAGTAAATGTAAGTACAAAATAAAGTTTATAGTCCAAAATCCTGAAACTCCTACCTTATAGTACATGTGTTCAAGTTTATGAAGATAAGCAACACATAAAGCATCCGATGGAAATTCTTTCTTTTCCAAGTATGCACACAAACGATCTATTACACCGCAAACTCTGCGTTCATCTCGAAGTCTAAAATGAATGCAGAAAATTACAGTCAGAATAACGATGCACTTTTAACTAAATAAAATGTTGAAAGTTAACGATTTAAAAAAACCTTTGTCAGCCGAAGATTAAGCCAGAAGCTGGAGATTTTTGGGACATGACGAGTTAATTTACCGAATTAATAGGCATTAAATTGCTTCCACATGAATACATTCAAGGAAATGAGAGACAGAAGTATTTTGGCTGACAGCTACTTTTATGAACTTCTCTGAATAAACGATCGACCCCTGTTAAGACTCCGATAAGAATTGCCCCTACCATGTAATAAAAGTCAATCAAAGAGTGAATCCCCGATTAACGAACAGCATACTGTAACCACGGTGAGGTTCGTTACAGAGACGGAACAGACCTAGAAAGAACAAGACCTTGATCGATTATTCATTCTTTAGCCTCCACGGTGTTACAGAAACAACCCATTACCCTTTTTTTAAGCACTCCGATAAGATATCAACCTTCACTATGTGGATAGTCAAAAAACTACAACTACCTGCGCTCTATCATAAGCTCAAAATGTTTACGGCCTACTGTCCTCACCGTATTCCTTTCACTAATTCCCCGCCTCCCCCTAACATACACAGTTCTTTCAAGTCGTCTTTAATTTGCAACTAGATCCAGCTAAACACCACTTTCAATCTCCTAAAACCGTGCTAACAGTTTCAAATTAGCATATTCAGCTTTCAAATACAATAGGCCTGGCCGAAATATGGGTATTTTAAACTATGGATTGTCTTGTATCTCTGAGAATTGTTTGCAAACAGATAATAAATCAACATAGAACCTCCTAGAGAATTGCATTACTAAGGGTTACCATAATTTGAAGAAGTCAAAAGAAAGTGGACAAGAATTTCATGATAATATATGTGTATTTCATGATGCTGAAATGAACAAAGATGTGTACAGGATAGAACATGTGTAGCACATGATTTAGCCAATTTAAGTGACAGAAGATTGCAACTTCAACAATTGACACTCTTTGCTTATTTAACACTGTGTTTGGTAATAACACTTCCTATCCTATCATATTCCACTGAATATATAAACAGAAGTACGAAGGTATTTACGATCATGTCGAGCCATTTTTGGTAGTTGTTGAAGTTCTGTTCTTCTCAGATATCATTTCACTTGTCATAGCCCTTTAAAAGCCAGTCTTTTTTAAGGAAGACTATATAAATGACAGGTACCACCAACATTTTTCAGCTATGTTTTGTTCATTGTCATTTTCACAGCCCGGAGGAACCAATCTCCTTGTGTCACTTATACTTTGAATGACGTTACAGAGAAACCTGCTAGTTCCTGTTAAGCTCTGACTACAGCTTATCAGCAGCTGTCTTCGTTGCTGCTTATACAGCAAACTGAATGTAGTCCTAGTTACTGTTACGCTCAAAGAATTCTTTACCGCGAATCAATCAATCAATTAGTGCATCGGTGGCATAGCGGTTAGGACGCTCGCCGAATATGAGCATGGTCCAGAGTTCGATCCCCGGCCAACACACTCCTTTACCTCGCTACGCCAGACATGGCCCTGGTAAAGAGGAAGGGTTGGGCATGAGGCTAGCAACCCCTGTAAAAAATAAACACTGCTACAAAAACTTCAAGCCACTACTAGCTTGAAGCCCTATGTTCCACTGGGAACGTGAAGAAAAAAATCAATCAATTCACAGCCCCACTATGCAACACAAAATACACCAGACTGCATCAGAAAATGTATGTAACTTCAGCTGTATGTAAAATGATCTTTTATAGTTACAAACACTATACGATTAATTAACTTGATTTATACACAAACTAACGTGCGTCGGTGGTATAGCGGTTAGGACGCTCGCCGACCATGCACATGGTCCGGGGTTCGATCCCCGGCCGACGCACACCTTTACCTCTCTAAGCCAGAAATAATTCTGGTAAAGAGCAAAGGTTGGGCATGAGGCTAGCAACCCCATCCTGTAAAATAAACTCTGCTACAGAAACTTCAAGCTACTAGCTTGAAGCCCTATGTTCCACTGGGGAACGTGAAGGAAAAATTATTTATTTATTATTTTATACGCAAACTATAAGAATCAAAATCATATTATTTACCGATCAACATATTCAGATTCATGACCATTGGCATTTTGTAGAACTTTGAAACACTCAACATCCAGAAGACCAACCACAGTCAATAGAGATGCCCGAATACGATATGGTTCAGCCTATTTCATATACAAAAAGAACAAAAGAAAGCGATAAGGAAAACTGTGACTCAGTGGAAACGAATTGCAAGGAGAAACAACAACACATGGTGAACTGGAAGCTCACGATCAGATAGTCATAATGTTGAATTAAAAATTCAGTGTAGTAGTATGATTTACTTTTGCCGCTAATGAAGTATGAACTGTAGCCTTATCTACAGGGTTACAAAAATTCAATTTAATAAAACAAAGCATTTAGTAAGAGTAGTACGACAGTTACGAATTCTTATTTCAAGAATGATTACCATCCTACTACAATACATGAATCTATCAACAAAAAGCAATAAAGTTAAGCAGGAACGCAAACTCAATTATTGCTAAGCAAGGATCTGATCCATTTCAGTTTGGATAGCAAACTGACTTCAGTTAGAGAACTAGGGAGTACTGGACAGCTATTTTGTCCCAGTCGCTGACTCTTCACCAGTATGTACCCATGATCCTACCAGGAATTCAACCCAGGATCTTCAGGATGACAATTCAGCCGCTGCGGCGGAATTCAATGGTCGGTCGGTCAATTCTAACTTCTGTTAATTTATGTTTTAGTGCGACTGCCGGCCAATGTCATTGGGGAGTATTTGTCCTCAAACCCAAACTTGGTGAATCCTGCTGGTCACAACTTCTCAATGAATCTTAAGGCAACTTCATCCTGTAGCCAGTCACCAGCGACCAGCTGATTAATTTCCAAGTACTGGTTTGCAGGGATTTGATTGATTTTAAGTTTGATCACGTAATGCGGATAAGTCCTAAGAAAGGGACGAAACCTCTATCCAGGACTTCCTGCTGACTTTTAGTATATGACAAAAAACTTAAAAACGAAAATAAACTATTCTGTATGAACTTCTATGTCACACTGTTTTACTCTTTCCGCTTGGGATACAGTGCTTAACTTTTACTGCTAGAACGTGTTCGTGGAGGATAACTACATGAAACAGCTATCTAGATAGTTTATTTTTTATTGTTTAACATTATATACCAGTCATCTTCCATTTTTAATGTGTTCCACCAGTTAATTGGACATATGAGCTTAACAAACGTGTCTGTTGTGAACAATAACAGTAACAACAGCGACACTACAAACGAAACATACCTCATATGATTCATCATCACTAGAATCGACCGGAATTAATTCCACATTTACTTCATTTAACAGATCGAATAATCGATCAAAGGCATTGATTGTACTAAAGAGAAAAGGAAGTCAAACGATAAGTTGTAGGTTATAACTTTAATTACAAAAGCTATTATTACCCAATCTTTGGCCATATTATCAAATGTTGATTTGCAGAGGAGATTTGATTAACCTTTAGTTTAATCACGAAATGATAATATCAACTAGAGAACTGCTGAAAATCAGGCAGTCCTAGGTAGTTATTTCGTCCCAATTCAGGACTCTTCAATCACACACATTCATGACCCCAAGGAGAATCGAAATCAGAGTATGGGATTCTGTACCAGAAGTTTAATGGTCAGTGGGCTCACCGCATAACTTGAACGTCTTGGTTGCGTAATGCCAAGTAGTCCCAAACTAGAATGGAACAGCTATTCGCTTCCATAAAGAAACGAAATGTCTGAGTCTATTAGGAGTCAACTTTCAATGTCTTGAAACTTTTACCTCATTCACGTATTTTAATATTACATGAAATGGTTTATACTCTGAGACTTTGGTCAATAGCTTATTTACACGTATCTCTTACATAGGGATAAATATTTTTAAAAGACTATAATGCAAATTGGGTAAACTTAGAAAACAATTTTGAAGTAAATCCAATTAAATGCCAGTACTCCTGGATATTTTCTAATATATGTTAAGTCAACTTTAAAAAAAAAGCTTCACGAAGACATTCTAAGCAGTAGATTGACGACTAACAAGTTCTCATTAGAAAGTGTCATATTCGTAGTCTGTGCACGCAAGTCGACTGAATTTTGTTAAGTAGAGATTATTCTCCATTATAGTTAATCGATTTGACCACTTCTACGTCTTTTCCAACTAAATCTAATGTCAGATAACATTGCTCGTTGAGGAAGGCGTCGGCTAGACAAGCACAACACGTGTCCTTGATATAATAGAATAATTTTATTTGATACAAGACAATGGTACAATATTGTTTATTTACTGACGACATTTTGAGCACAATTTATTGCTTATGTGTAGATCGTATCACCTTAATACAATGATTTTCTCTTAATTATACACCATTGTGATGTATTGCCATTATTCAACAGCTAATTGTCATTGGAAAACCTACACAGGGTATTAGTTGAGAATACGGGATGAGTAACATAACATGCAATGATAACGAAATCGTTGTCCTATGTGACTGAGTAGTGGTATTATAAGCTATGAGCATAGACTAGTACACAAATCTACACCTGGTTTAGCGGGTTTCATATTCAATGCTACCCATGTCCCCATAAATGACCTGGTACGACCGAGGATGGGTAGACTTTATTCTTCCTCTCGAAATGGCTTAATGTGACCGGCCACACGTTCTTACCCTCTACTAGGTCAGTCCAATTCACAGCCTCTATATGTCAGTGTCCTCCACAAAAACGAAAGAATGACAACGAAATTTTGGCGCTTACAATTGGATTGGTGGACATGCTGGCCCACCAAGGGGAGTTGGAAGACCCTGACTTCAAACCTACGGTGTGTACATGGGATTCAGAATCCGTAAGGATCGAATGACATATGAACCTATTTCGGACATTGGAAACTATGGGAACGTAGCTGTGGACGCTGTTCCATTACCTTGTGAAACGGATTTCAAGTCAAAGGCTCAGAGTGTGACCTTTTAAGACAACCGCCTGCTTCGGTCTGGGAGTCCTGATAATATTTCAGCCAACGCACAAACTATGATTGTTTGAAGCATCTCTTGGTGCCAATAACGTACGAAGTTTGTTTTAATAATAATAATGACCAATAATAAAAATGTGTACACATATATCTTATTCTTTACACACCATCACAACTTATCAGAAGCATTTTATTTTTTTTATTTTTGATTACAGCTTGATCCCACACTGTATTTTTGGTACAAGTACGGAATTTTCAGCATGGATATCGGTAGCCCATATTTTGCAGGTCGACCATAGATATCAGATGTGCGTCGGCAGGAGATCGAACCTCGGACGATGTGCATGGTCGGCGAGAGTCCAAACCACTGTGCCACCGACGCACACTTATCAAACAATAAGCTCGATATACTTTACAAATGTAAGGGTATATATATATATATATATATGAATGAAATTTCTTAGTACGCTTAAATGATAAATCCTGTAGACTGCTGATGCAAATATTAAATATGAATGAAAGGTTTTTATCAATTATAATTCAGTTAACTGGTTAATATATATAGTACATAGATAGCTTACCGATCAAATGCACTAGCGCTCATACAATCATGCTTCTTGTCGTAATCAAACAGGATACTAATAAAAGCGAATAATAACTTGGCAAGTAATCCACGCGACAAGTTGTATTCCTCTGTAAGACAAAAAAAGAAACTCATTAAGGTTCTTTTTGTTCGTGTTAAATTACAAAAACTTTTATTGGAATAATAACCACCCTATTGACTTACTGCTACAGTAATGGAAGATGAAACAGTACACTTGAATCTAAAGAGAAAGGCGAATGTTACTCAACGACGATTTGCGATTCCACAGTTACTGGTGATTAACCAGACACCTATTGTGTGTGACGGCTAGGCATACTACTTGGTTGCCTAAATCTTAATAGGCAAGGTGAGGCTCGAACTCGTAACCCACTGGTTGGAAGTCGAGCGCCTAGGCCAAAAGGTCACAGTTCCATAATATCTGGATCACGAGTGAACAGCTTTAAGAAATCAGATGAAGAAAGATAATTATGTTTACTAGTCCATAGACGATACATGTGAGCTAGAAGTGATTTATTTACAACTCCAGAATACCTGATAAAATCCAACTATCTGTCTGTTTTCAACATAGAACTCTGCATCGATATGCACCAGTTCAGGTCGCCACACCCCATGTACCACACAAAGCAGGAGAAGAAAGTAGAAGAAATGCATAATAGAGACAGTAAACAGAGGAGTGAGACAAAGGAATAGTAATAATGAAGAACAATATATTTTTACCGGGTATTATAAGTCACAAGGAGTGGATGCATCTGCACCAGCCATTGAGAACGATTTTGAGCCATGTCACCAATTGTTTCCAATCATTGGTTTTTACCGTCCCGAGGACCCCAAACGGTCAGGAAGTCTACAACTTACTACGTGGCTGGCTTAAACTAACTGTTGTAGATTTCATTGACTGGTGAAGCCATTCTTTGGTTTGACTACCAGTAGCTCTTTTCCAGCCTGACCCAATGTCAGCTAACATTGCCGATTGTCGAGGAAGGCGATGACTAGGCATATGTAACACATGTCCTAACCATCTCAGTCGATGCAATTTCACGGCCTCGTCGATTGATTTCCCCTCCTTACCTAGAACTCGACGCCTAACCTCAATACTGCTCACCTTATCATTATAAAATCCAATTACTTTTAAAATGAGGCAATCGGAAAACTGAAAAGTATGTAAACCCAACAGTAAAGGTATACAAATTCTAACAGTACTCAGTGATAAATTGTACCATTTATTATAAACAGAAAGGTAATATTTTATTGGGTGGATGGTGATTAGCAGCAGACTCTAGGATGCACATTTCATCCGATTTGGGGTTTGTCTGCTTGATGTACCTGCAATCACCAGTGAATGATTGCTATTTCCACTGACACTCGAACCTAGCACTCTTCGTTTCAAATCCCAAAGCGTGATCACCAGCTGAACAAAAAAACAATCGGGTGCCGGTTCTTACTCACTGCTCATGCACCTACTTTACACTTAACTCCTCTGCGAACAGACAGTTCAACATCCAAATGGGGAATCTCATGCGAATAGCATTGTCACAGATATGGTAGGGGAGTCAACTACAATAAAGGTGAAGTAAGGAGGCTAAAATAAACTAATATATTAGTAATTGTCGAACAGAGACTAGTGTGTCAGTGGATGAGGGATAGGATGCTTGCCAGGCACGCAGATGATCCGGGTTCGATTCCCGACCGGCGTAATCCTAATCCTCGCCCGATCTAGTAGACGGAAGTAAGCCGGGAAAAGAGGGAAGGTTGGATGTGAGGCGGGCAACTCCACTAGGTAAAAAACAATACCACTGCTAATGAAGCCTTAAGTTCCACTCGAAACGCAAAGGAATGGAAATCCATAAATGAATGTACATAACAAATTACGATTGTCGCCTGTATCATTTCACTGAAATACTCATTTTTTTAAAAATAACTTTACGCCAAGACTCACTTATTTTTTCTTCAACTTGCATAAGCAATACAATTTGATCACTGGTACTTGTGCCTTTTTTACCCCGGCTAGCTAAAATCTCTTCCATCCTCCTTACAACGACCTCAAAATTAATCTCTTGACCTTTTTCGAAAGCTTGAATTTGAACCTCTGCTCGACCATAGGAATCAATTGTTGTCCAAGTTCCATCTTCCATTTCAGCAGCAGCGCGTAGCTGTTTCTTACTTGGTCTGTCTTTTGCAAGTTTCTTAACTTTAGCCTTATCCTGTGAAAAGAAAAGTGGAACATATACAGAGAACGATACTTACAGCCTTGTTAAGCAACGAGAAGAATTGCATAAATGCGACATGTATTCGAAAATAATAATAAGTAATTTGGTTGTGCGGCTAAATGCTATATGTTTACTGTAAAGTGAATAAGCGCCTAATTATTCATTAAAATTCATAATTGAATGCCTAGGTCAGTCCGTGGATTTTAAATTCGAATCTTTCCTCAGCCACTTTGACTTAAGTTACCAAGTATTGTTATCATTATTATTGTTGTTCCCTTGGGTTCCTAATGGAACACAGGACTTCAAATGCACGTCTCCACTTGCTTCTGTCTTCCTCCTGCTGCACCTTTCACCTGCATCCATGTTAGTCCATACTGTTTCAACTACTCAACTCTTCACATGATCTCCTCCATGTCACCCTTGGACCGACGTCCCACTAGCCGCTTCCCTTTCGGCCTGGTTCCACTCGGGACTCTAGGAATCAATGGCTGGAGATAATAGGTGACATGGCTCAAAATCGTTGTCAATGGCCAGCGCAGATGTATTCAGTCTGTGTAATCTTTCATATTCCTTTCTACTATTACCCATTCTGTTTCACTTTTATACTTGTCAGACTGTATTGATTCTCTTCACTCATCTTCTTGTCTACCTTTGTGTGTGTGTGTGTGTGGTATTTGGAACGTGGGAACTCGAAGTGCTGCACTTCGGTGCTAAGTTCTATATTGAATCCAGACAGACAGACTGGTTCCACTCGAGCAATGGCCTGACGCGCGCGCCATGTCACTCAGCGGCCTCTTCAGCGAGCGAATGTCCAATCCATCTCCACTTTCTCCTGCATTTTTGTTGGTTGGCGGCTGGTTCTTGTTTTGTTGTTCGTTCCCATAGTTGTTTCTTGTTGGTGATTCTCTCCGCGCCGGCCATCTGATCTTCAGTATAGAGCCAGCGAAGACAGTTGTTGATAAAGGTCTGAAACAGGCTGTCAGAAATATTCTTTGTAACCCGCCGGCCAAGTTTCTGACCCGTATAGGAAGAAGAACTGACTGACTTGACGTTTGTATTGAAAATCCGAATTTTGTTGATGTTGAGTGACGGAGATTTCCAGATTGGTTTTATGTTGATGAATGTGTTTCTCGCCTTCCCGATTTTCGCTCAATTTGACATCCTCGTCCGTTCCTACTTCCTGTAGTTGAGACAGTGCTTCCTAGATAAGTGAATGAAGTAACCTCTTTCAAATCCCTCCCGTTGATGGTGATTGGCGTTGGATGTTTGTGGTGTTGTTATTGTTGGTTGGTTATTTTCATAACCTCCAAGTATTGATACGTATCGCCAAATCGTGACACCTGGAAACCTACAAGTTTTGACACCTATGTTTGATTTGTGACAGCTCTTTACACTCTTGTGGGTGCCAAGGCTTCAAGATGCCTCAAAAATTAACGAGGTTAGGATCCTGAGACCATAATATGTGTTGAGTGTTTTTGAAGGCCGGGGTGGAGCTACGATGGATTTGGCAATCCTGATGAGACACTTACTACAAGGACAAACAAGCCGTCCTCCGAGATCTGTTGCAGTGAAGCGAGGTGTATGAATAATGGATTGCTGGTGGAATCTCGTATTCAGAGGCATGTTAAGGTGTCTCGATTAGGCGCCGCTCTGTGACTAACGGAGGGAGTCATGAGACCATTCCTACCCATATAAAATGACAGACAACAACTTCAGCCTTGGCTAAATAACAGACTTGTTCGTACCGAATAAAGCGCACAACAATCTACCACCCTTTGGCGTTAATGGTGAGAATCACTATGAACAAAAGGGCGAATCACATGTGAACTGAGACGACTTATAAAGAATATGTATAGTGGAGTAGGTCATCCTTAGTGCGTATATAAGCTCAAGTGAGTGGCGGAAGTAGTAACACAATCTAGTACTGTTGAACCACGTTTAAAAGATTCATGCTCCATCAGTAAGTTGTATAAATTATACCCAAAAGAAACCCAATGAATTTGTACGACGTTGTTGTTGAACGTCAAAAGAAACAAATGATTAGCTCAGGTAATGTAAGAAGCAACACAACTTATATTAAACATTAAGCAAGCAAATACGATTATGCAGAAACTTATAAGTATAACCGTTTAACACAGAAAAAAGGTTACGAAACAATTAAATGTTGAAACTAACTACTCTACACTATTATTCTCAACATGTATCGATAAATAGACCGATATGTTACCCAACAACCACATGCATGTTATGTACTTGACAAAGACATACACCTGTAGTGTAAGGGTCAGTGATATTACTTGGTTGCCCAAAATTAGTTAGGTGAAGCTGGATAAATGGATGAATGGATTCGTTTTTTATCGTAGAAGTTTGCACAAAAGTGCATCAGTTCAAGTTGCTACATTTCATTAAACTTCATGCAAAGGTACAGGATGGAAACGAAATTCAAAAAAAAACAATAATTCCTAGTTTTCGGGAAGAGAATAATCACATTAAAAATAATAGATCCACAGTCCCATGAAAAGTGAATGCATCTGAGCCAATGAGAACATCAAGATTCGAACCTGCGAAATAATTAAGCAAAACCTCGCACAGAACATTATCAACGCACGTTGTATATTTATAGCACAAAACCCTCGTTGAGTCTACTATACTGCCATACCTACTGTCCCATCATTCAAAGCAGACAGCAAATGATAGGTAAAGTAATTCTTTGGTCAATTACAGTGCACTCAGAACGTCCCACAGCTTGAAATTTAGGTAGTTTCTGAAAATGTAACTTAGTGGAAAGCAGAAGAAAGATTACCGTAAACGACAGTTGTAATTATTTGCCTAGTTCACAGTTCACAGAAAATGCGACCGGAAAACGATATGCAAGTCTGTGTGATTGGCTATAAAGATACGGGTAAATAACAGCAGTACTTGACTACTTTAACCTTTGCAAGTCTGGAGATGAGATCATTTATCCTATTAAATGAAGTTAGTACATAAACTGATCATTCACAGCAAAAGCCAAATAGTCAATCACAGATAAATTAATTAAAATCATACATAACTGAGTGAGTCGGTGACACAGCTGTTAGGACGCTTGCCGATCATGTACATGGTCCGGAGTTCGATCCCCGGCCGACGCACTCCTTTACCTCGCTAAGCCAGTAATAAAAAAAACTGGTAAAGAGGAATGGTTAGGCATGAGGCTAGCAAGCCAATCCTGTAAAAATAAACACTGCTGCAGGAACTTCAAGCCTCTACCTTGTACTCCTATGTTCCACTTGGAACGTTAAGGAATAAAAAAATGCATAACTGAACAGCTTTCCAAACCATTCTGAAACCTTATATTAGCATATTGCTACTTCACACAGTTGAAATCACAAACTTTAGGCTGTGATACTTATTCTAATCCTTAAAACAAAGCAACCGGTCGTATCGACTGACAGCATTCTCAACAGCTACGAAACTAATGTACCCTAAAAATCATCGAAAAACAAAACCACTAATATATAAATACTATTGAACCTTACCTTTTTGTCATCCGAAGTATCCTTTAAAAAGTAAACTGAAGGATCCTTACAACGTTCTAAGTTGATATCGATACTGCTAGTACTTGAACTGTCATCATCTGAAAAATCGTCACTGTCACTGTCATCTGAGTCGTCATCATCTTCATCCTCCGAATCAGATCCAATTGACTTTCGTACAGATTTCTTTGCAGCAGCAGCTGGTAAAGTTGCGGCAGCCTAGGAAGAGAAATATCAAATATGAACACAGTGAAGCACTAAATACGCAGCTCAGGACACAATGTCTCTTACGGCTTGGTGTGATTGGAAGTTAACTAATTATATTAATCACTGCTACACACCTCATAACAACGGGGCTCCTCGTGTAAAATCTAAATACATATTTAATGTCTTTACAATCCAGAGAAAATTTATGAGAAAAGTACCACCGTTACTTATCAGAAAACAGAAGTGTTATATAATTCAGTCACATTTTAACAATATATATAAAAAAATAAGAGTATAAACTGCAAAAATCACAATTACCTTGGCTGGTGAAGGTTCTGCTTCTCGCTCATTAGCATCAGTATCTAAAAGTTGAAAGTGAGTCACAAAGAAATACAAAATTACCAGAAACACCAGGCTCTTCCTCTAAATAATTTTCTGAATTCTAGAAATCAAGTGAGTCATGTCAGCGATAGTGAACCTACCTCTCGAAAATCTCGTATATTTGCTTCAAAAAGCCTTGTGTACTTTTTGACACGTTGTTTTAACGTAGCTAATGATTTAACAGCACCTTTGTTCATGTCCTTTTTCTTCTCCCATGAATCATTCACGAAATCTTCAAGCTCTGCTATACACCGCACGTAAAATGGTGGTACACCCTCAAAATCATTCATTTGAACAGATTTCTCATAAACTTTTACCAAATTCTGGAAATCTAATTGTTTAGTGAGCATAATAATGCTTGAAAGTTGATATTTTTTATACCTATGATTATATTTGACATGTCTTTAATTTTTTTATGATTGTTCAAGTTCTTTATTATACTTTGCATTTCTTCGCACCTTTATTATAATAAAGATGGAGGTGAGTGTAGCATATTCGCATACCGTTTATTGCGACCACTTTTGACGATACGTTTAGTATCTTCCTCATCGCTTGAAAAGTGTACTGGACGCGGTTCAATGCGCCTAACTGGCTCTTCATCTTCACTATCAGAAGAACTAAATATGTCGGCATACATTTTTTCTCTACAAGCACGAAATAAAAACGGGTAAAACATACAAAAATGAATACTAGAGTGAATGTACAATGATTATTTAAGAACGTTACAAACTAACGTAAAAACTAAAGTTACAAATTGATAAAAACCACAGTAGTCTAGTATGAGCACTGAGATTTTGTTGACTACTAACCCTGTAGAAATTAAGTACATTTGTAGTCAGTTTGGTGGTTAAAAAAGTGATGTCAATAAATCGGATGAGATATATCCTGTTCGAGTGTGCATGCATACGTACGACATATTATATTAGCTTCGTGCAACTTAGGTGAAACGGTTAGGGAGACACTACATGTTTATATGCTGTCACATGTGGAAACTACCTAAGATCATTTTAAAGGTAACTAGATGGGCAAATGCTATTAGTGAATGAACGTTGCGCTGTATACATGTTAGTGGCTTTACATCCTGATTCTTCCCGATATAATTTTTTTCGAATTGCGTTTATTCCACATTATATAATATGGGAGTTTTGCGACTTGGTGCAATGTAGTTTGAATGACACATGGCCTAGAACAGAAGCGAATAATTACAACCGTACTTAGTTTTCACATGATACAGTAATAGACTAGGCCTAACAAGTTAGGAAAGTGGTGTAAATTTGGGGTAAGCTCAATGATGAAAACTACGATTACCTGTACAAAAAGCCAATGTTGATACGTATGTAGCCAAGTAAAAAAAAGATCGACTCTATACCTCATAATATAATGAGTAGTGGTTCCTTTAGCAATATAATTTAGCCGTCTATTCTGAATAGTTTAATAACGCATATTAACATGGTATTTTGATGAATCAGTTGATCAACAATAAGGTGGAATTAGGGCATCACAGATCAAATTAGAATGGAAGTCACAGTTACTAAGAAAACTACGGAAAATTACTATGGGAAAAACACATCTTAAACACACGATGACATAAACAACCATCGTGGGGCACAAACGTAGCGACGTGTGTTCATTATCCATACCACAATTCAGACTTTCCAAGCGATGATACTGTAAACATGAGGGTACTTTAGTTAATACATGTTGCTACAGCAAGAATAACAATACAGGATGGATACGCGATAATTTACCGCAAGAGTTCTAGTTTTAGGTGACTGACTGGTTTCAAAGTAGAACTTTGCATAGATGTGCAGCAGTTTGAGTTGTCACTTTCTCTCTCTCTCTCTCCATGCAGCACACAAAACAAGATCAATGAGTAAGGACAGATTCAGAAGAGAGACAATAAACACAAGTGTGAGTGGGAAAGAAATAGTGATTTGGAGAACAATAGAATTTTATCAGATATTATAAGTCACAAAGAGTCAATGCATCAGTGCCATTTAGAACGATTCTCGGCCACATCACCAATTCTCCTGCCATCGGTCCTTACTATCCTGGGGACCCCAACCAGGGAGTCTACACCTTCCTACGTAGCTGGCTTAAACTAACTGTTGTGGATTTCATTGACTAGTGAAGCCATGTTTTGGCTTGACCGCCGCTAAGTGTTTTCTAACCAGATCCATTTAATATCGGCTAACAGTGCCCATCGAGAAAGGTGATGACTGGGCATGCGTAACACATGTCCTAACCATCTTAATCAGTGTGACTTCACAAATTCGTTGGTTGATTCCCCCCTCCTTATCTAGCACTCGACGCCTTACCTTAATATTGCTCACCCTAATACACCAACTAACACGGGAGATAAAACACAGGCACCTGTGGTCAAAGATGGCTAGCCAGGCTTCCATGTCTTCCACTTCTAGTGGTGATGTCTAGGGAGCAGCCGTGAGGGACGACCGAGTGGACTGCTAAGCAGTACGCACGCCGTTTGGTCGGTAGCCAGTTGATCCTATCCTATGGCATCATCTTACATCCGATGGGAGCGAATGGGATGTCAGCGTCTTCACCTAGAAGGATTGTATTATCAGCATGGTTCTAAGTGTCTTGATCAAATCAATCTATATAGAATGTTCTACCAATAAACAAGTGGCACAGAGCTTATTAAACAGTAAAAATGAGCTGATGTTCATATTTTGACAAAATTTGGACAACTTATGTTATAACCCCTGAATGCAAAGACCAAGAGACACATGATCACGTGCATATATGGCTACGAATAACAGATGACTTCTTTTTATGTCGAGATTTTGAATAAATACTAGCTGTTAGAAATGCATACACCCCGAAAAACATTCTCACAAAACTATGAGAACTCAGTATTATCATCTTCAGCATGAACGTATATATATATATATAAAAGAATAAGAATAATATTAGTTGTACGTTATCAGTAAAGACACTTCGTGACGCTAATGGAATGTATCTGTTGATTCCATAATCACTACCAAAACGTATTGATAAAAAACTTACCTCGTGGACGTACCGCTTTAATCAAAAGTGGCTCAATATTCAAAATTCAGTAGTGGACAGGTCAAGCATGGCTGAAATTATCCGTCACTTATCAAGGTCATTGGTGGAGTGAGACGCTCGAAGGTCATTTTCGTCCATTTTAGTCGGCCATGTTGGATCGCAGTTCCGTAGCTGTTCGTTTACGCGTTTGTTGTTCCGTTTATCCTGCCGTTATACACGACTTATCTTGTTGCGTATCGTTCACAAATGTTGCGTTTCACCTCATTTTTTGTTTCCGTTGCTGTTAAAATGAATTATTTCTTTGGTTTCGAAAGTTTTCACTACCAGGCCAGTGCATTCATTTCGGTGTAATTGTTTTCATACCTTGCATTCATGCGGCTTTCAGTGTTTTAGTTGGTTTTCAGCTGTTAATGAATTAGTACTGTGTAGAGGGTTTTGAAATTGTGCACATGAAGATGTTTGGCTGGCAGAAGCAGTTGTTTCCAGTCCATTAGTTGGTTGCCGTTACTATTGTTGGCTCAGTTACTTGCATAACATGTAGAAATCTGGAAAAAGAGTGTCTTTTTCGTTCATGTTTGCAGCATACAACAATCTGCGAGTGAATCTGTTGAAGAGAGCACCATCAGAGTTGGTATTAGCAAGGTTTTCGAAGAACAAATTAAACCCAGAGAATTTAGAACCTGGGTTGAAGTTGAAAAAGCTTTGAAGCTTTTTGAGAATGTGAATATACCATCAGTGTGTCTGCTATCATTTAAAAAAATATATTGTGAGAGAATCTAAGCCAAATAAGGTTGAGCCGCATGAAAAGTATGAATCTGTTGTGCTTGTGTGTATTTTGGGGGAACTAAAAGAACCTGGAATCCTTAAGGGTAAGTGTTACTTATGCTTATTATTGCTTGATGTACTAGATCGCAATAAATGAACTAGGACTACCCGTAATAGAGCCAGTGTTAACATCCATTCGATGGGTTGCAAAACGGTTTTCAAAGCGGATAAAATACGGTGATCTGGTGAGTGTACAAACAATCCCAGTTAAAGGTAAGACATTAATTAGGAAGAATAACGTTTCGGGTTGTAGTCTACGATTGGTGGTTTCCTCGAAGTTGTGATTCTTCCGTGACTATAGACACAGATGTTCACGATCTTAAAAAAAACTAAATAAATTATCCTTGAACCAGTAGTCTTCTTTTCTTCGGCGAAACATCCGTTAATACGACTATACGATTAGGTAGCGAAGTAAGATGTTATGTGACTGAGAATCGTGGTTGTTGTGTTTCTGACTAATTTCGCGCATCTGACTTATAACCGCATGGATATAGCGTTTTCCTCATGGTACATTATGATATCTAGAAATCATAAGCACGCTGCCATCGGTAAATTTATTTTTACTTTTTAAATGGCTGCAAATAGTGAGTCGTTTGCGGTGATAGGATGAATACCTCTGAACGTTTTTGTGGAGACTAGGGTATATTTAATTTTTTCGAGTAAGGGACGATCTTTTTACCAAGAAAGTTCTCGGAATTTTCGTTATTCAAAGATAACGCTAAGTTGCCCACTAAGGTGGTAACTATAGGAGATAACCTTCAGCGGAAACTATATTAATGTAGTTTTAGGTAATGCGTCATAGAAGTAAGCATCGTAGGTTAATTGTGTCTAAATGTATTAAACGTTGTATAACTGATCAAACCATAGTTCTTACGTGCGAGTTAGTTTTAAAAATAATGAATGTACCGTACAAGCGTCTACCATGATTTGCATACCTAGCTCATAAACATTATGCCTGCATGTGGCATACATTTAGGGCCAACACGCTGCGATGAATCAGTCCGAGATACTTAAAGTCAGACTTCATTTCCATATCACTATTATCAATTTTGCAACGGTCATAGGAATTAACACCTTCAACTAACTTTCGTTTACATCGGAAACTGAAAATAACAGTCTGACATTTCGAAGGATTTAGTTTAAGAGCATTTTCCCACTCCTAATAGAGAGCTGTTCATCTTAGTACAGTGTAGCTGGCAGTTAACAGACATTGAAGTAGTTAGATCGTCCGCGTGTTTGAAAAAGTTCTTTTCGTATGCATTCGTACAATAAGTTCATCAAACAAAAATACAATTGGTAATGGACGACTTCCCCCTGACCTACAGTGTACTGCTTTCTCCCTGATAAATAAGAATGAAGCCATCTAACAATCCAATACTCAGTTTGAGTTTCAGCAAGCTTATCTAACAGAATATCTCTAGGTAGTGAGTCGAAAGCAGATGTGTATTCTAGGAAGGTGCAGCGAATTTAGCCCCATTGTCTATACTGGAGAAAATGTTGTGAAGCAAGACTGCAGCTGCATCTAAAGTACGTCTACTGTGTTTATAGGAGAACTGTTTGGGATCGTTAAAGGCTCTGAGTGAGGGTTAAAGATTAAGTAAGAGTAACTTTCCCTTAGTTCGTATATACCTCATTTGATTTGAAACAAAGGAAGCAGGTCTTATTAACGCTTGTAACACTAGAAAGTTTGGCATTTATGGGAGAATTTATGAAAGACTTGTTTAGTTTACACACACCAAATGAATAGGGAATACTGGAGGTAATTAGATGCATACAGGCGTAGGT